ATGTGTGTGCTTTTTTTCCAGTTGTTTGATGCCACTGAATGTGGAAATGGCTATGTGGAACCAGGCGAAGACTGCGACTGTGGTATCCAAACGGTACTATTTTCATCTTAAAATGAAAGCTTAAAAGTAGATAATTACTGATAAGGTACCGTTCGTTTTCATGCGGCACAAATTAATGAAGAAGGAAGTGATGGAAGAGGTTTTTCCCCCTTTGAGATCATCTGAGCAAGAGTGGAAATCATCAGAACTCTCGTTTGGAGAGTTCTCTTTTTGCTTGCTATAAGGCCGAGGGTTCCACCACAAATGCGCGAACGACAAAAGCGCGCCTGACTAAAGCGCGGTGACAAAACCGCGCCGACAATTCACGCTGTGGCGTTATCCAGGTTGCACCACAAGGAGGCGAATTAGCTTCGCACCCCACATCAAACTGTACATCACATCATGACTGGCTGTAAGCTGAGAACATAGGAGGTTTTTAAAAAAAAAAATTTAAACCATGCAGCGCTGAGGTAGCCTAGACGTTGGCATTTGAACACAAAACACATATTTTAATGTGTTTTACTAATCTAGGTGAAATGTTAATACACTGTATGTTGTAGTCCATGTATAATATGCGTTATGCCAAATAAATGAATAATAATCATTAATATACTGTATACTTTTTAGGACTGCCATGCAGAATGCTGTAAAAAATGTTCCCTTTCTAATGGAGCCCATTGCAGTGATGGTCCATGTTGTAATGAAACCTGCCTTGTAAGTTATTTTAATTGCATCTTTACTAGTGGCACTGAATTAGAAAATATAATTAAATAAGATTAAAAAAACAAAACAGAGCTACTGTTAGGAACAAAGGGACCTAGGCAGAGAGGTATCACAATTTTACTGTGTCCACTGAAAAATCATATCATTCCCTCCCCTTGCTTTCCTACCAATGAATGAAAATGATACTTATATATGATTTTTTTTTCACCCAATAAAAGGCTAAGACTTTTTAAAAAAAGTCTTAAATGCTTGGTTGTTCCTTGACTGTTTTTTAACTGAAAATCTTTTTACTTTCAGTTTTTTCCACGAGGTTTTGAGTGTCGCTATGCAGTGAATGAATGTGATATTACCGAAATCTGTACAGGTGACTCTGGCCAGGTAATGACATAATGTATTTTGAATACGTTACTTATTGGTTTATCAGTCAGGTGATCACCTTCCTTCTCACTTGTATAACCATACTAAACTTATTTCACCCAGGACCAAAATTTGATTTTGAAAAAGGGTAGAAAAAAATGTACTTTCTATATCTCCAACCTAAGCTGTGCTGATATACATATTCCCAAAAGATTTAGAATCCATATATAGTCTTTAATGCTTGGGATTACGAATTCCTTGTGGAAGGAACCTAAATCAATTACAAGGACAGAGGGTGGGGGGAGTTTTGCCTCTTCTTTTTTCTGTCCACTCCTCCAAAATTTGTTCCAGAAAGCTAGGGCAGTCAGGGTTGCAGGAGGAAGCAGGAATAAGCAAAAATTGGTACAGTAGAATGTAGACCTTATTTTGAGTAGAAAGAATCTTTCCATTTGTGGAAAAGCAATTTGGGATCTCAGCAAAGAGCTTTCATTCAGATTGTTGACTTCAGTATATATGTATGTATGTATGTATGTATGTATGTATGTATGTATGTATATGTATATGTGTGTACATACATACATACATACATACATACATACATACATACATACATACATACATACATACATACATA